ACACATATTCTAAACTCCCTACTGGGATTGTCTCTAAAACAAGTTGTTGAGGAGCCAACTCGTAAAGAGACCATACTAGATTTAGTTTTAACAAATGGAGATTTGGTATCTGATATTACTGTAGGTGAAAGTTTAGGATCCAGTGATCATCAGTCAGTGTGGTTTAATATAAGAACAGTGACTGAGTCACACCACACAAAAACAAAAGTTTTAGACTTTAGAAAAACAGACTTTTCAAAAATTAGAATATGGGTAGAGGAGTCATTATCAGACTGGAGCAATTTAAATGGAGTCCAAGAAAAATGGGATTATTTAAAAGTTGCACTATTGAAGGCAACAGAAAAATTGCATTAGGCTTGTCAGTAAAAGCAAAAAATTCAAGAAACCACTGTGGTACTCCACAGATGTGGCCAAAATAGTTAAAAACAAAAAGTTAGCATTTAGGAATTATAAAAACACCCAGAGTGAGGAAGACAAAATGATCTATAAGATTAGGCAGAAAGTGGCTAAGCAAGTTATAAGAGCTCCCAAATCACACACAGAAGAGAAAATAGCACAGTCAGTAAAAACGGGGGATACAACATTTTTTAGATACATAAATGAGAAAAGAAAAGTAAAACAAGGATTAGTTAGATTAAAAACAAAAGAAGGAAGGTATGTAGAAGAGGATAAAGGTCAGGCTGACTGCCTCAATGAATATTTTTTGTTCTGTATTTACAGAAGAAAATGAAGGAAAGGGACCTCAGTTGAGAAAAAGGATAAATGAGTCATTTATTACACGTGAGTTTACAGAGGAAGAGGTTCTATTTCAACTGTCAAAAGTAAAGACAAATAAGTCAATGGACCTGATGGAATACACCCAAAGCTATTAAAAGAGCTTAGTGGTGTACTAGCAAAACCATTAACAGATTTATTTAACCAATCATTGTTAACAGGAGTAGTCCCAGAAGATTGGAAGTTAGCGAATGTTGTTCCCATTTACAAGAAAGGTAATAGGGAGGAGTCAAGGCAACTATAGGCCAGTAAGCCTCCTTACCAGTAGTGGGGAAAGTGATGGAAACCATGTTAAAGGATAGGATTGATGAGCAAAACACATGGGTTCTGCGATCAGGTATCAACATGGGTTTAAAGGGAGATCATGCCAAACTAATCTTATTGATTTTTTGATTGGGGTGCAACAAAATTATAGATCAGGTGGTGCAGTAGACATTGCTTACCTAGATTTCAGTAAGGCTTTTTGACACTGTTGCACATAGAAGGCTTATCAATAAACTGCAATCTTTAAGTTTGGATTCCAATATTGTTGAATGGGTAAGGCAGTGGCTGAGTGACAGGCAACAGAGGGTTGTAGTTAATGGAATATATTCAAGCTTGGACTTGTCACCAGTGGGGTACCTCAGGGATCTGTACTTGGACCCATTCTCTTTAATATTTTTATTAGTGATATTGCAGAAGGTCTTGATGGTAAGGTATGCCTTTTTGCTGATGATACTAAGATATGTAACAGGGTTGATGTTCCAGGAGGAATAAGCCAAATGACAAATGATTTAGGTAAACTAGAAAAATGGTCAGAATTGTGGCAACTGACATTTAATGTGGATAAGTGCAAGATAATGCATCTTGGACGTAAAACCCAAGGGCAGAGTACAGAATATTTGATAGAGTTCTAACCTCAACATATGAGGAAAGGGATTTAGGGGTGATTATTTCTGATGACTTAAAGGTAGGCAGACAATGTAATAGAGCAGCAGGAAATGCTAGCAGAATGCTTGGTTGTATAGGGAGAGGTATTAGCAGTAGAAAGAGGGAAGTGCTCATGCCATTGTACAGAACACTGGTGAGACCTCACTTGGAGCATTGTACACAGTACTGGAGACCGTATCTTCAGAAGGATATTGATACCTTAGGGAGAGTTCAGAGAAGGGCTACTAAACTGGTTCATGGATTGCGGGATAAAACTTACCAGGAAAGGTTAAAGGATCTTAACATGTATAGCTTGGAGGAAAGACGAGACAGGGGGGATATGATAGAAACATTTAAATATATAAAGGGAATCAATACAGTAAAGGAGGAGACTATATTTAAAAGAAGAAAAACTACCACAACAAGAGGACATAGTCTTAAATTAGAGGGACAAAGGTTTAAAAATAATATCAGGAAGTATTACTTTACTGAGAGGGTAGTGGATGCATGGAATAGCCTTCCAGCTGAAGTGGTAGAGGTTAACACAGTAAAGGAGTTTAAGCATGCATGGGATAGGCATAAGGCTATCCTAACTATAAGATAAGGCTAGGGACTAATGAAAGTTTTTAGAAAATTGGGCAGACTAGATGGGCCGAATGGTTCTTATCTGCCGTCACATTCTATGTTTCTATGTTTCTATGTTTCTATGTTTCTAAGAAATTTCAAATGACTGATAATTTAAGCAACTAAAATAGTTATTTTAAACAAAAACAATGTTTCCAATTTACACAGACTGATTACTAAACACATTTACTGTACTTTAAAAACACATTACTGTGAGTGTTATTGATGTGGAGATCTGTTATAAACCCAGGCACACCAAGACTATGGAGCTCCTAGAGAAGAGTCATATTAGTATCGAAATGAAGGACAGATGGATTTGGGCCCAAAATATGGACTTTCCCTCCTAATAGGGACACTTGGGAAGTATGCATGGGTACCAGATGAATCAGCTTCCCCAGGGTTGGGCAGAATTTTACTACACCTTGTCTACTAAGAGAATGATAGCCTCTTCATTCTATTATAGATCCTGCATCTGTGTGTGGGACATCTCCTTCAAATATTCAATTTTACTTCCTCTTTACCAACTGCGAAATAAACTCATTTGACCACAAGATATCTTTGAGCTTATTCAGTAATTTAGGGCTACATATTAACTTGGTGCAAGAACTACTATCACTCCCATCAAATACTGTCACAGTCAGAAGAATTATTCTCTTGGATCTGCAGAGAGTAACTGTGTTATTAAAGATGGTTAACACTGAACATACTCATGATCCCCAGGTTTCTGTTTCCACTTTAACCTGCTAAGAGAACAAGGTGTGAAATGCAGAACTGGCTCATCACTAATTCACCTTGACAAGTTATTTAGGAATATCTCATGCACATGTAAACTTCCACTATCATAACAATATTTATTATAGAAAGAGCCACACAGCTTGCAGAATGCTCTTGTATTCTCCCCAATTAACAAGCCTTGAATAGCAATACAGAAAATGTGATCATCTTGGCTTTGCACGGCTAGCTCTCCTAATAGGGTTGTAAGTCATACATATAGATCTATTCCTGACATAGATTTTACAATATAAAGCGTTGGTGCGACAATAAGCATTGTATGTGGTAGCAAATCACTGCACAACAATGAATGCTGATTAGGTGTGACAATAACTGGAGTCCATTTGCAGTATCTAGAGCTATGTTGCATTGTGTGCATTTGGTCCCAATAGTCTTTCGTCATGCTTCCCCTTGGCCTAGCAGAAAAGGTGATTGCATATTTGCGTCCTTTTTACTGAGGGGATATCATTAATCAAGTTGATTACAAGCAATGTACTGCAATACCACTGGTATAACTGAAGGCAGCGGCTATATAAACAAGCTAAGTACAATATACTTCTCGTAAATAAGGTTGCATTGTTTGTGAGAGTTATATGCAACATTTTATGTATTTTATTGTATTGATTAATTTGCCACTCAGTTGTGGGACAGCCAGGGTTAAGAGGAACACTGACTGATCAAGAAGCTGATTTTACAGGTTATTTGGATACAGTATCCAAATTCCAATCACAGTTTTGGACATGTGTCTCCTGTGCTTTCATTGTTTTACCTCAAAACCTAGACCTTTTAAAGTAAAAAGGGACACTTACTTTTACTCACGCTTGTCAAGCGTTGATGTTTTGCGGTAACAAAGTCATTTAACTTGTTTAAAAAAATGTTATAGTTGTGTGATCGACTTATACACAATGTATATTGTAGTGAACTGTATTTCTTCTCAGCTCTGTGTTGTTCTAACACACTGTTAAGCGGAGCAGTGAGGGAGCCGTTGAAACATCAGTGCGCATGGTCATTACTGCAATTATCTGCTGAGTGTTCTTGGATTTTTATTTAAATGTTGGCAGTCCTGTGTTAACTTTTTTTTCTTAGTATTGTAGATGTCGCAACAGGATTTTCTTCTGGCTAACTGGGGTATAATTGATGGCATAATGATTGGATTCTGTAATAGCTGTTGTAAGGATGTCATGTCTAGCTACTTCTGAAGCAAGAGTCTAGGTGTCTTGCAGATTGAACTGGGAAGAAAATTGAGAATGTTCTGAAATAATCCATAAAAGACTCTAATGGGCAGAACAGCAAAGTAAAATACCAATCAGAAAGTCCTAGCAGGTAGCAGTGCCCAATAAATCTGAGTATGTTGGTTTATAGGATGTCTTCAGACAGACCCATGTCAGAATGAGCATCCAGGAGCAGATTTTGGTGGTCTCTGTGTCAGAAAAGGATTGTGATCACAAAGAGCACAAGACAGTTACTGGTTTGCTCCCTCCCTTCATTATTTCTTCACGTAGGCATGGTATGGAAGTAAACTCATTGTTCCAGGCTTCTGTCTAACCCCTAGGCCCAAGGAGGCCATCTAAATTAAGCTTATCGATAATCCAGCTCTGTTCTGTATGCTGGCCAAACTGATAGAGCTCTTCTGAGAATCCAGAAAGCCCATACATTCAGTTTTACTTTGAGATGAGCTTTCAAAGACTGAAGAACTGGCTCAATGCCAGGTGTCTGCAGGAGAGCACACAGGTTCAGTGTGGTTAGAAAATGGCATGCTTTTATTTTAAGTTATCTTGAATTTCTGTAGTTGCCTCTTAAACCCTCAAGGGCGGAGGCAATTATACACGTTCTGAACCCAAAAAAATGCTGGAATTTGAGCTATATGTCTGTTCAACCACAATTTGCCACCCAAACTTAATATATATAATTTCCACATCAAATATTTATATATGAAACAACAAAATTAATAACATCAACAAAAAAAGTGAGAAATGAAGATGTTATTTTCCAAGGTCTGTGTGGCATTTTAACTGTGAATGTCATATTACTGTTAACTTTTACTGCAACAAAATACATCTATTTCTGTTCATTGTTTCACAAGTACAACAGTATGTAACCCCCATTTACAGATTTTATGGGATATTGGAAAGTTAAAGGGTCAAATATTGGGGTGCCCCTTTTCAGCTTACACCCACTGATATTTGCTAGGTTGGTTTGCTGAGCCTATGTTGCCTTTGAGACAATATGGAAGCCCAGGATCAAAAATTACCCCACCATGGTATACCAAAAACAGACACCCCAGGATATTTAAAATAGGGTATGTCTAGGCCTTTTTTAGTAACCACTTAATCACAAACTCTGGCCAAAGTTAGTGTTTATATTTGTTTTTTTAATTTTTCACACAAAAACTGCCTGTTTATGGATTATATCATCACCATTATACGTTTTGCTGCTCTAAAACCCTTACATTTATGTTCAGTGAAGTGTATATTTAGATATGATTTTTACATAATTAAGTGATTTTACTAATAATATGTTGGGGCATCTGCCTGACAACCAGTCCCACTGCAGTCAATCTTGCAATCCAGCCAATCTGAATCATCCATGTCATCGTGATCACATAACTCGGATAGCAGGATTGACATGTCTAAATGTCTTTGCATGATTAAGGTTCTGGGGATGCGAAATCTCACTTGTTCTGTATGGTGACTCACCCTGAAATAAATCTACACCATTATTATCATAGAGAATAGCCTGATGAGTTTTGTTTTCTCTGTTGCTGGGATGGATCAGCTGTGTCCCTTTACATGGAGCTCCTCTGTGGTTTATGGCAGGCTCATAAGGCAGAATGTGATTGCAGAGATTATTGTTTTTGGCCGGTTGTCAGGCAGCCAAACGGATCCAACGAGGAGGGTGAGCATGCTGACTGCACGGAGGGCCTGTTCGTTAGGACATGCAATGTCGCTATAACAGCATTAAAACCCTCCATTTGTAGGACGCCATAGCACGTCTTAACCCTTTCCTAACGTTAAGACGTGCCATGGCGTCCTGCAAATGGAGGGCTTTAATGCTGTTATAGCGACATAGCATGTCCTAACGATCAAGCCCTCCGTATGTATCTGTAACATGTATAAATAAAATAACATTAAGTATGATTAAAATGCTTAAAAAAAATACATTTTTTTCACATTTTAGTAATAATTTTTACACTTACAGTGCAACTAACAAAAAGGAACTCAAAATAGGTTCATATATCAGTCCTGATTCTTAAATACCTCATATGTCTAGAATCTATTTTTTTTGTAGCTAATACTAATCCTATACCAACCCCACCACTAACCCTATACTAACTCTAACAGCTACACAGTTACCAGAACCTAACCCCTAATCTTAATCCTACTATCCCTAACCATAACCCAGCATTAACCCTTACCCTATGCTAGCACTAACACTGCACTAATTCTACCCCTAACTCAGAGGAATTCCCTCTGCTCACTCTCATTCCATCTCTCTGAAATGCTTACTCTGCTGATTACAGTTATCCAGAGCCAGTCATAGTAATGGAGGCATGCAGGAAGACCCAGGCATGTCTCTTTCTCTTGCAGCAGGCTCAGAATCATTTAAATCCTCTCAGTTGAGCGATCAAACTGAGCCATGGAGATTAAATGTCATTTAAAGGGCTGTATGCAGCTTTCACTTTGAGCATACCGCTCATCTGTCAGTCTGTGGCCACTAAATATTATCCAAGTTGATACCTAGCTCTCGCTGGTGTGAGCAGGGATTTAAACTGCTCACACTAAAACATTATGACTTTCCATGCCACCCTAGCGTCAAGCCCACTTTGCATGGAACATCCTAACATCATTAAGCGTTAAGACTATTTGAGATAATTGCAGTGTTCTCTTTATTTACAGCAGTTGGCATGTTGAGTGGATAGCTGATTATATTTTATTCACATATCAGCCATCTTACTCTGTTTACAGTACTTTCCCCACCTAGCATAATTACAGTATTTTTTTCATGGTTGTAAACATTCATGATTGAACATACACATGAGAATGTATAAAGGAACAAAATATACATACATACATGACTCCAAGCATGTTGAGCTGAAATATTCTTTGAAAGTGTTATTACTGACAGAAAAACTGATTTAAAATGTTTAGAACAGATATAAAAAAATATATATTCTTGCCTGTGTTAAAGCTGATATCAAGTATCTAAATATAGTGCAAATTACAGTTTATGGATTTGTCCAAACTAACATAATATTTTATCTCATCACACATTCTGACTAAGACATAGACTAATTTAATTATCAATAGAATGCATGTGGGTTAACATCTTAAGGGGGTCAGTAAAATGTATTTTGAGTATGAGAAAAGATAAATATTAAATATGATTTACAAAATAAATTGTACTTCCTTGTCAGTAGCATAGATCTCATGTAATATGTTATCTATCAGCATGATTACACCATCAGGTTACCTTTCTTAAATATATCTATTTGGAACACCTCATTGGCTCTTTATTTTGCTCAAATAAGCCTGAAGTCTGACTGTATAGGTCAATAGGCACTGGACCACAAGATCAAGAATCCAGAATGCCACATTGCCTAAAAACCATATACTGCATGCTGGGGAGTTTTCTGTCTTTCTTTTAGATGTGAAATCATGTTCACTATATTCCTAACTATAGATTGGGCATCAATAATGCAGAACACACTACAAGAAACAGAGAAGACACACGTGCTTTCTCCCAAACTTTCAGAGTCCCAGGGTACATTTATTCTCCTTAATTTTGTTTTCTTTGTGTATGTCTGGTGTTTCTCTTTTTATTTAATGATTCAGTGGAATTTAATATCATGGAGGGAACTGTAGCTTCTTTGCTGAAACATAAACCACACAACAGATGTTCCATTTGAGTAAGGAACACTTCTGTGAAATGATTATGCATTAGGGTGTTCTGTTATTAATTGGGTTTAACTCTTAGGGTTTTTTCGCAATCCTCTTACATCTATTCTCCTACAATTCACATTCCAGAGATAGAGACCCTTCCTTTGCTTAGTATTTATATTTAAATGAAGTTCCGTAAATAGAGGACATTCGTATAGATAGTTTGCTCATAAATGTAAAAACGACAGACCGTTTATAAAACATAAAGACATAGCAATACAGTTAGTTTAGGATCTATGATTGTAGAATTTGTTTTATGTTTGTTTTGATTTGTTTTATTTGTTTTATTGTGTGATCATTTTACGCTATGCTGATAATAATTTGTTTTATTTTTTAGGAGGACAATATCTGGAATCTGATGGGATTAGTCAGACATCTACACTTATTTGTATTCAGGTACATTGATATTTCCGGAAGAATTATTTGCTATGGCCAGACTTCGCAGGAAAGCATGTATTGCTCTCTTCCTTTTTACACTTTTCATTTTTGGAACTATGATGGGCTTAAGAACTTTGAAGCCCTCTGATGGGTTTTCTGATTTGGCACCTGGCTTAGAGCTCATGCCCTTTGCTGAACAGTCTGAGAGACGCTCGGTGTCCAATGAGGTCGTCCCCCATCCCCAGAGCACTGTGGAGACACCAGACCAGACAAAAGTGTACTATGACCTCCATATCTTCTACTACATGTGGTATGGAAATCCAAAGTTTGATGGGAATTACATACACTGGGACCACGTAATGGTACCTCATTGGGATCCCAAAATATCTGCAAGTTACCCGAAAGGCAGACACAGCCCTCCTGAAGACATTGGCTCTAGTTTCTACCCAGAATTGGGACCCTACAGTTCAAAAGATCCAGAGGTCTTAGAAGAACATATGAAGCAACTTAGAGCTGCTGCTATAGGTATTTAATAATGAAGCAGGATAATTGGTCTCATTTGATAGACATAAATATGCTATTGCCATATAATTTTCCACATAGGTGCACATCTTTAGAAATTCTACCTTTACTACTTTACTTCTTTTTCATTTTAACTTTTTCATTTTTTTACTTCATGTTATGTGGCTGTCACAGCTTTTAGATATTATAGAGGTTTTGAATCAACCTTTAAAATGAACTCAAAAATGCACTGTCATTTTGTTTTTCTTTCAGTCTTCATTTGTTTATGCCTAGTGATGTCCCGAACGGTTCGCCGAACGGTTCGCCACGGACTCATCATTGAGTAAACTTTGACCCTGTACCTCACAGTCAGCAGACACATTCCAGCCAATCAGCAGCAGACCCTCCCACCTCCTGGACAGCTCACTAAGAATGCAGCTTCACAATTAATGTAAAATGGATGCTGTCCAGGAGGTGGGAGGGTCTGGGAGGGAGGGTCTGCTGCTGATTGGCTGGAATGTGTCTACTGACTGTGAGGTACAGGGTTAAAGTTTACTCAATGATGAGTCCACGGCGAACCGTTCGTAGCGAACCGTTCGGCGAACCGTTCGGGACATCACTATTTATGCCCCTTTTATCTGAATCATTGTATTCACCCTGTTCTTATTACATTTACTATGTTTTCTTCCATTTGCTAAACGTCAATATTTGGGAGCCACCATTTGTTTCTCCTATGTCAAAGATGTCCGCAATTTATCCATATGTGTTAGCTTAGCAATTGAAATGGAACTTTTCTTAAAGGGATACTATATGCATCAAAACAACTTTAGCTTAACAACGCAGTTTTAGCGTGTACATCATGCCCCTGTAGTCTCACTGCCAGAATAAAATCACATTTGTTTCTGTTTGTGCAGCTCTAGCCACATCTCCTCTGCCTGTGACTCACACAGCCTCCATGACAAAACGGCTTACTTTTACATCTGGTGTTAACTTACTTTTAATATGTTTATCTCCTGCTCTATAAACTGAACTTTAATCATACACAGCAGGCTCCTGCAGGCTATTAACAGAGCAGAAATTCTAAATTAAAAAGATGGTGCAATAAAGGAGCAGTGAGACTGCAGGGGCCAAAACTGCTTAATTAAGCTTAAGTTGTTTTGGTGCCTCAGTATCCTTTTAAGCTCTGCTTATTGCCGAAGCAGGTAAGCAGAGTAGTTCTTATGTTATCTTATGTATAACTAAAAAACAAAAGTGGATTTAAAAAAATAAAAACAAGGGATACAGAAACAAACAATAGAGGTACAGAAAATTTATTAATTTAAAAACAAAACCTGAAAAGTTACAGAACTGCTCTTTTACCCATGCACAGTTTAGTTAACACATATGACAGCAACTCAGTTATCTCATAACAATCCACTTATTTCATGTGTATACAGGGGAAAACTCAGTTTTACTTATAGACCCTAAAAGACCGACCTGTTTTGTTTTTTTGAGAATTAAACACGGCTACACCAATTTAGGATTGCCCTGATAAAATTATTATATCAGCATATATCTATCCTCTTGTTAACTTGAATATTTACATTTCAAAGGGCCACCCCATCACCATAAAAATACCATTTAAATAAAGTTTTTATTGGGCAGGAGCAGGGTTGTCTTTAATATTGACTGGGCCCTGGGCAACCATTCGCTTGGGCCCCCTGGATGCTGCTCCTTGCCCCCTGCCAGACATACTAAAACACATGCACAGAGACATACACTGACAGACATACTGACACACACAGAAATATACACTGAAAGACATACTGACACACAACCTGACAGACTTACTGACATACACATACACACTGACAAACATATTGACAGACATACTAACACAGATACAAACACTGACAGAAATACGGACACAGATAGACACATACACTGAAAAACATACTGACTGACATACTAACACAGATACAAACACTTGACATAAAATTACACTTTTAAACCCACTCTCCAGTTTCCTACCTTGGAGGGTAGTTTCCCCGGTGTCCAGGCTGGAGGCTGAGGCTGTTGGGAGTTGGGGTCTGCCTCTTCCGGCCCAGCCCCCATCCTCTCTGCCTCCTCCTTCTCCCGCGTGGCTCCTTTCCTTAGTGGGAGGAAGTGACTCATGGATATCACTTCCTTTCAGCGCTGCAGAAAAGCAAGGTGCTTGGTCACGCTGTTAAAGTGCCACAGTGTATAACCGGGCCCCTGCTTACAAATGCTCACCCGGTGGGCCTCCTTAGTGTGTGGGCTGCCGATTGTGTCAACGGACCAATGGGGGGAAAAATAGTTGAGGGCAGCGGGGCACACGGTGCAGCTGCCTTGGGTCCCCCAAGAGTAACTGGGCCCGGGACAGCTGCCCTGTTGCCCTGCGTTAAAAAACGCCCTGGGCAGGATTCCCTAAGTGCCCACTTACCATAAGTGGTTAAACTGTGTTTGAAAGGTCATACTGCCTCCTCTCTCTTCCCCCTTAGCCCCTATGTAAAAGGAATGCGCTGTCTGGGAGTCTGGGGATTGCTCCAACTGGCACTCTCAGCCTATCAGCGGCCAATCATTGCAAGTAACAGTGCACATATGTGAGGGGGAAAACATGGCGAACACTTAAGAACACAGCGTCTGTGTAAAACTGTTATTATCTAAAAGGAATGTTTTAAACGGCAATACAACGTTGGCTTTTGTTTTTGGTGTATAGATCATGCCCGTGCAGAGTTATTGCTCAATTAAGAAATACCTTAAAACACAGACAATCCCCACAAAAGTTACTTCCACTGATAGCCCTGATCTGGCTGACCAACATATTCCAAAATCACTTTAGGGGTTTAGGAATTTCCTGAAAGTCATAATTTGACCGACAGCCCGCATGGTCCCATGCCCAAAACAGTTCCAGAGAATCTGGGCTTGTGGTCAGTCTAGTTCGGTAGTTTAAAAATGAACAAACTACCGAACAGAGTCAATAGTCTTACCCTGGAGCTTGATCCCCTTGTTTGTGGGAACGTTTCCACCGAACAGCACCTTTCCAAGTGTTGTAGAACCGAACGCAGGCTATGCTGGAAGTCCAGCAGTGTTCGGGAGTTTCTGTGTCCATTTTCAGTTCCATGAGATTCATGCCCAAACACCACTGCCTGCTTTCATGCGAACAAGATGTCCGCCACCTTGTGGTCGTCCATAGGAATTGCGGCCACCCAGATGAACACTTAGAACACTGCAGTTGAAATTGCTACAACGTAGCAATTAGTCTTAACAAGTTCCAGGGTGGTCTCCGGTTCGTGCAGCTGTCCGGTTCCCGAACCAAAAATAATATCCAATGAACTAAGTCTGTTCAAATAGTTTTCAAAGGCCCATAGTCTTTGGTAAGAGGTTGGCCAGCAGGCCCCACCAAGCACACGTGATGAGGCTCAGTTCGTCACAACAAGTTATCAATGTTTTAATCCACAAAGTTACAAAATGAAAGATATACTTCCCAACCCCCTGGGAGGCAGTGCTTGTAAGTCTATTGACTCTGTCTGTGTGATAATTAGCACTGGATACGCAACTGCACACATTTATTTATTTATAAAATATTTTACCAGGAAAGATACATTGAGATTTCTCTTGTTTTCCAGTATGTCCTGGGTCCACAAAACATTGCATTGATACAATAGGGTACAATAAAATACAAAAACAATATTAATACACAATATATAAAAGATTTAACGTAGAACAGGTAGGAAATATATAATCAACCATGACACGTGCATTCTGTTTTGAGGTTTGTAGAGAGGGATCTCTTAAAGGACTTTAGGTAGAAAAAAAGGGGGAGGAGTCTGCTCTAAGTAACAAAGATAAGAGCTGCTACCCTAAAAAGGGGATCCCTCAAGAACCCTCAATGAAATATTGGAAAAGAAAGAAAGGGTGAAGGGCTGCGCTATAAAAAAAGGAAATGAATAATAAATAAAATAGTAAAATATACACAGTATAAAAATAATCTAATATAAATAAAATATGGATGTGAAACAGAGTCCGTGCAATAATGGAGATCAAACAGTAAAATGTCCAATAAAATGCATAAAAAACTCACTGATATGTGGATACGCCGTGTATATAGTCCTCAAGGGTTAAGCCTTCCAAGTTCCACGAAATCCGTATATTTGAAAATAAGAACACAACAAGCTTCCAATGGTATAGTATTGTACTGAGAGAATAGGCGAAAAAGACAAAATGGAGGATAATGCACTCACATTTGTTGGAGCTTTGGTCCAGCTCTTGGATGAAAGGCACTTAGCGGTATAATCCCCGCTAATGGATATACTGTGGAAATGGGTCCGTCCGTCCGGCTTGGATTCCGTAGTATTCCGCAGGATATATAAAAACAGTAATAGTGCTCTCAGTTTGAAAAGATAACAATATATAAAATAAAATAAAATATACTCACAATGATAGAGCAGGGAATACTGCTCTATAGATATTGCGCTTGTCAGCACCTCTGCCTCTTGTGAACTCCGGCTATTCAGAGCGTTGCTGGACGTTACCCTGGCAACGCTGTGCTATGCAGAATAAAGCTCTTGACCACCAGGGATCTGAATATCGTCCCTAACTTGACCTACATATGCAAGAGAGAGGAAAATAAAAAAAAATTTTAATATTAGTTAAAAATATATGAAATTGGTCTCTTACCCTTAAACCCCTTATCTCACTCCCCATACAAACACACACTCCATCCATCTACACAGTATATCTCCTACACATACAATACAGTCCCTTTACACACACAAACACACTGTATCCTGTACACTACATCTCCCTAGAAAGACACGCTATCTACAGGCCCCTGCAAACACACAAACACACACTCTACAGCCACAGGACACACAGGCACACACATACTCTACAGGCCCTATAGGGTCTTTATCAAGCTATAGTGACACCAAGAAGGGCTAGTCTGCTTCAAAGTCGATCTGTCACTTTTTTATCATAGGAATCCATCCAAAAAATGATAAATATAAATTTATTTATTTAAAAAAAAAAATTTTTTAAAAGGCCTAGGGTTAGTAAAAAAATCTTGAACCTAAAACCTAAACTAGGAGGGATGGGAGTTCCCAACATTATAGATATTTATGAATCTTGCTCATTGGCACATATTATTTCATCTATGAAAGAGAGCTCTAGGGGAGAATCATGGGCAAAGATTGAAGCTAAAAGAGCAGAAATTCCAGATTTAATGGCTTTATTTTGGAATATACACAAAGGGGAGAGAGATGATATGGGCCTAATTCTAGATAACTTACTGGTTCAATGGAGAATCTGGAAAAAAAGACTCAAAATTACAGACAAAAGTATTATTGACCTCCCTATGCAGGTTTTGTCCATTAATATTAAGGACCTTAATCTGGAGCCATGGTTAAATAAAGGCATTAATAGAATAAGTCAGTTATTTCAACAACAACAGATTAGATCTTTTGAAGAGATTAAACAGGCTTTTTCTCTTTCCTATAGAGAAAGCTTCACGTACTTAAGGATAAAATATTTCTTAATGAGACACAGAATAGTGGAGATCTCTGAGGAATTACAGTTGTTTATAAATTTATTAAATATTACACATAGTAAAAACTTAGTATCTAAATGCTCTAATATCTGCAGTAAGTATAAGCCACTCCCGGAATTCCCAGCTAAAAAAGCTTGGGAAAAAGATATACAAATTAGCATCACGAGAAGTGAATGGCTTGAGGCTAACAATGCAGTAATGAAAGCTTCACATTGCTTAAATCTATCGGAAAGTCACTATAAGGTTATAAACAGATGGCACTATGTACCAGCTAAATTAGCAAAAATATATTCAGGTAACCAATATCACTGCTGGCGTTGTGCTTCACTTACAGCAGACTATGTGCATATATGGTGGTCATGTCCGATCATAGTTCAATTATGGCAAAAGGTAGCGAAATTCTGTAGGGAAGAAATAGAAGTGGATCTTGATTTTACTTGTAGTTCTATGATATTACATATGGGATGGCCTACAATTCCGAAGGATAAAAAAGAAATAATTATCCATATTCTTGTAGAAACTAAAGCTACTCTCGCAAGATTTTGGAAAATCTCAGATTCCCCGTCATGGGAGAAGATAAAACATCAGGTCTCGAATAATTGTAAAATGGAAATAGGGATATTGAGACAAAATAATTATTACAATCCACGAATTGAACAATGGCAGAAATGGATTGTGAAATTAGGAAGAAGTAATGTGACTTAATATATACTAAGGTTTTTACGTCTTGGAAATGTAGATAGGGTAGTGGTTCCTGTGCATAAATTACTAAATTAGCCACGGGTTTGAGGAGCCTGTTTGGTAAGGAAAAAAATTTATGTCAAAAATTATGGTTCCAGGTTCCTAGAAGCAATATGCGACTAACTCTCGGCAAAGAGCAGCCTTTTTTTTTTTTTTTTGTGTTTATTGTCTAATGTCTGATTGTTTATTGTTGTAACAATGTATGTGAATCCCTTTTTGTTTGTAAAAAAAAAGGAAGGGGAAAGGGAAAGAAAAGGAAAAAGAGAAAGGGAAACAATGTAAAAGAGGGGAAGGGAAAGAGAAAAGAAGGGAAGGGGAAAGGAAAAGGGGAAAGGGAAGAAAGAAGAGAGAAAGAAACGGGAAAAGGAAAGGAAAAGGAAAAGAGAAGAAAAGAGTAAGAGAATGAAAGAAAGAAAAACCTCTTTTTCAATAAAGATTAAATATACAAAAAAGAAGGGAAGAGAATAGGGAAAGGGAAAGAAAGGAAGGAGGGGAGGGGAAAAGAAAAAAGGAAGGGAGAAAGGAAGGGAAAAAAAAAAGAGAAAAAAAAAAAAATGGAAATGGAGAAAGGAGTTGCATATTTATAAATAACCTTAATTATACTCATTACTATGTGCAATGGATTCAAAAGATAAAAGATAGTTTAAAGCTATCTACTGTAATGTTAAACTAACTGATATCTTTCCTAGACGAGTAATATATTAAATCACATATTGTATGTATGTTGTCCTTGTATTGTCTTGTTTGTATATTTAGTCATATAATTGTCGTTGTCAAATATGTTTGTTAAATTGTTTGAAAACAAAAAAAAAAAAAATTCTCAATAAAAGGCCTTTTTTTTCTTTTAAGAATTATGAATATTTTCCAAGTTATAAGGAAGGAAAAGTATGGTCTACTTTTTCTTTTGTATAAGCTGAAGGTTGACAAAAGTTGTCAAGGGTTTGAGCTTTAGTCAAGATCCATAGCCCTTGTCAGATTTGTCGCTGGCCATTTTCTTGTACTCACCTCACCCGCGATGTTACTAATCTCCATTGTTGACTCTCGCACAATTGTGAGAATTGACACTAAGACAGTGAAAGCTGCCACCCCTGGGCGTGCTCGTGATTTCATGCACAAGTTTAATGAACTCAGCCAATGGGGCGGAGCCAGCCACAATTAAACTCACTTGACCCTGTAAAAGGTGAGTAAAATCACCTTTTTAACAGAGGACAAGGGGGTGCTGTCACCTAAATGGCTATTTAGACCTATAGCGTCAAGAATACACGTTTGTATTCCTGACACTATAGTGTTCCTTTAATTACAGAAAATAATAATCAATACTGGTATATGCATTTGACACAAGTTGCAAGATTGCTTTTGAAAAATAGACACAATGAAAGTAAGAGGCTATTTATTACACCAAGAATAGTACCAGTGATCCACTAAAATACATAAATAAATACCTCCTGCTTGCTTAATGCTTGGTACGTTACACAACAAGTTGTGGGAATTTACATATTTCTTGCATGTCCTCCAAATTATGGCGAATTAAAATTTGAATGGCTAAAATAGCAGCGCAGTAAACCATCTCTAACTCTTCAATCTCGTTAGCCTTAAATTTGTCATTCAGATTTAATGTCACTATAATGTGTATTTTAGTGAATTAGTTCTATACTATAAATCCTACAGATGATATGTGACTGTGTTAAATTATCAGCATCTTTTATTTATTTATTTTTTACTTTGAAACCCAATGTCTGGTATGACGTGTACTGTAATAACTCTGAAGGCTTCCTTTGCAGGAGTGCTTGTGCTGTCATGGTATCCCCCAGGCACTGCAGATGAAAATGGAGAAGCAGTGGAAGATTTAGTGCCCCTTATCCTGAATGCTGCCCTTAGATACAACATCAAGGTAACAACAGTGTAAATATTTTAGTTTAGTAATCATCCTTGAGATTTTGCATTATTTTTCAAAATAGATAAATGCTGACAGCATATCTGGAAATGTATTTTCTCAAGCTTTTTATTCAAACTACTTGTGAAAAAAATAATAGGCTGTTGTTACCTGTCAGTCTTCATAGGCCTCCCCTTTCAGATTGTTTAGTTTTTAAAGGATCACTATGGGGTCAGGAACACAAACATGTATTCCTGACCCTATAGTGTTAACACCACCATCTAGGCCCCCTGGGCCCCTCATGCCTCCATAAATATAGTAAAAATCTTACTGTATTCAAGCCTGAAGCTGTAAATCTGCATGCTGTTAGACTCAGAAAAACAAGCAGTCTGCTGACATGTGATAGCCTGATCCAATCACAGTGCTTCCCCATAGGATTAGATGAGACTGACAAAGAGGCAGATCAGGGGCAGAGCCAGCATGATTCAAACACAGCTCTGGCCAATCAGCATCTCCTCATAGAGATGAATTGAATCAATGAATCTCTATGAGGAAAGTTCAGTGTCTGCATGCAGAGGGAGGAGATACTGAATCACAGGATGCTGTGCACAGTGCTGCCCTGTGCTCTGCTGACAGCAGATCTGAGTGGATGGAGGCATATTACGCCTCCATCAACTCCGAAGTCCCTCTGGTTCACTCTGAGTGACTGCACTGTATTTTCTCAGAAAGGCTGCAGGGAGCTGTAGTTCTCACCTGAACAACCTCATTAAGCTGAAGTTGTTCAGGTGACTATAGTGTCCCTTTAACTTCAAATTCTTGAAGGCATAAAAAATCTAGGAAAGACTATGTGAGTGCAATGTAGCAGTGGTTCTGCGTTAAAACAGTCACTGGAAGACCCTTTGCTGCATATGAAGGAGAGTAACCAATATACCGTGCCACAAATTGGCAATACACACATGAACTTGAGAAGGAATTTATAGGTTAGGGGATGTTCTACATCATTTTAGCAGGATCTCTTTTCAGCAGTGGCGTCGCTAGGGGGGGCCAGAGGGGACCATGGCCCCCCCTACATCATGCTGTGCCCCCCCTTGGGCCCCCCCAAATGCCAGCAACTTGCTGGCCATGGGCTTCCCTCGGACTGTAACAGCCTGTTACAGCCCGAGGGAATGCAGTGCTGAGCTGCTGGGGGCTGTCTGTGGCTGGAGGGACCACTGATTGGCTCCCCGGCACAGGCCACGCCCCCAAATGCCGATAAGCCCCGCCCCCGCCGTAATGCAGCAGCCCATGCTGCTGCAGAAGATGGCTGCCTGACCCCCAGCAACATCCTCCAGTGACAGGTAGGCTGGGGGGGGGGGTGTTCACACACTCTACACACACACACATTGCCCCCATACACACCCATTGCCCCCCATACACACCCATTGCCCCCATACACACACATTGCCACCCATAGACACACATTGCCCCCATACACACACACTGCCCCCCATACTGCCCCATACACACACATTGCCCCCCATAAACACACATTGCCCCCATACACACCCATTGCCCCCATACACACCCATTGCCCCATACACACACACTGCCCCCCATACACACACATTGCCCCAATACACACCCATTGCCCCCATACACACACATTGCCCCCCATAGACACACATTGCCCCCATAGACACACACTGCCCCCATACACACACACTGCCCCCCATGCACACTTATACACACACATTTGCCCCAGCACACACACCCCATTGCCCCCCATGCACACACACACTGCTACACACACACTGCCCCCATATACCTTTGTACACACACAGTGTACCCCCCCATACTGCCCCCCATACACACACACTGCCCCCATACACACACATTGCCCCACACACTGCCCCCCATGCACACACATTGCCCCACACACTGCCCCCCATACACATACACTCTACACACATACACAATCCCCATACACACACCCTGTATGGACTCAGCAGTCTGTGTGTGTGTATGGACTCAGCAGCGTGTGTGTGTGTGTGTGTGTGGACTCAGCAGTGTGTGTATGGACTCAGCAGTCTGTGTGTGGACTCAGCAGTCTGTGTGTGTGGACTCAGAAGTCTGTGTGTGTGTGTGTGTATGGACTCAGCAGTCTGTGTGTGTGTATGGACTCAGCATTTTGTGTGTGTATGGACTCAGCAGTCTGTGTGTGTGTGTGTGTGTGTGTGTGTGTGGACTCAGCAGTCTGTGTGTGTGTGTATGGACTCAGCAGTTTGTGTGTATATGGACTCAGCAGTTTGTGTGTGTATGGACTCAGCAGTCTGTGTGTGTGTGCATGGACTCAGCAGTCTGTGTGTGTGTATATGTGTGTATGGACTCAGCAGTCTGTGTGTGTGTGTGTCCGGACTCAGCAGAGTCTGTGTGTGTGTCCGGACTCAGCAGAGTCTGTGTGTGTGTCCGGACTCAGCAGAGTCTGTGTGTGTGTACGGACTCAGCAGAGTCTGTGTGTGTATGGACTCAGCAAGAGTCTGTGTGTGTATGGACTCAGCAGAGTCTGTGTGTTTGTGTATGGACTCTGGCAGGGGTGTGTGTGTGTGTGTGTGTATGGACTCAGCAGTCTGTGTGTGGACTCAGCAGTCTGTGTGTGTGTGGACTCAGCAGTCTGTGTGTGTATATGTGTGTATGGACTCAGCAGTCTGTGTGTGTGTGTATAGACTCAGCAATCTGTGTGTGTGTGTGTGTGTGTGTATAGACTCAGCAATCTGTGTGTGTGTACGGACTCAGCAGAGTCTGTGTGTGTGTACGGACTCAGCAGAGTCTTTGTGTGTGTATGGACTCAGCAGTCTGTGTGTGTATGGACTTAGCAGAGTCTGTGTGTGTGTATAGACTCAGCAGAGTCTGTGTGTATGGACTAAGCAGAGTCTGTGTGTGTGTATGGACTCAGCAGTCTGTGTGTGTATGGACTCAGCAGAGTGTGTGTGTTTGTGTGTGTGTATGGACTCAGCAGTCTGTGTGTGTGTATGGACTCAGGGTGTGTGTGTTTGTGTGTATGGACTCAGCAGAGTGTGTGTGTGTATGTGTGTATGGACTCAGCAGTCTGTGTGTGTACGGACTCAGCAGTCTGTGTGTGTACGGACTCAGCAGAGTCTGTGTGTGTGTACGGACTCAGCAGTCTGTGTGTGTGTGTATGGACTCAGCAGAGTGTGTGTGTGTATATGGACTCAAGTCTGTGTGTGTGTATGGACTCAGCAGTCTGTGTGTGTATGGATGGCAGGTGTGTGTGTGTATGGACTCAAAAGTGGGGTGTGTGTGTGTGTGTGTGGACTCAGCAGTCTGTGTGTGTGTATGGACTCAGCAGAGTGTGTGTGTGTGTGTGTATGGACTCAGCAGTCTGTGTGTGTATGGACTCAAGCAGAGTCTGTGTGTGTGTATGGACTCAGCAGAGTCTGTGTGTGTGTGTATGGACTCAGCAATCTGTGTGTGTGTGTGTGTGTGTGTATGGACTCAGCAGTCTGTGTGTGTGTGTGTGTGTGTATGGACTCAGCAGATCTGTGTGTGTGTGTGTGTATGGACTCAGCAGTCTGTGTGTGTGTATGGACTCAGCAGTCTATCAATAATTAAAATTCCTGTGAGTTGTTGTGTAGGAAGGGCCCCAGTGCATTGCTTTGCCCAGGGGCCCTTAACTCTGTTAAAATGGTACAGCTTCTGTGTCAGTGAGCTTCTATTTAGTGAGCATGTGTGTGTCAGTGAGCTTTTCTTTAGTGAGCTTGTGTGTGTCCCTGAACTTCTTTGTAGTGAGCCTTCTGTTTATACAAGTGAGTGTCTGTAGTAAGCTTGTGTGTGAGTCAGAGAGTTTTGTCTGTCAGTAAGCCTATTTGCGCATGTCAGTGAGCTTGTGTGCTTACTGTACTATATATATATATATATATATATTTTGACTTGTAGGAATGGCATACGTTTTTTTTCCAGGGCTGCTTTGGATTCCCAGGGATTCCCAGTTTGTCTCTGCCAGCGAGTGCACTTTACCGCTGAATAATCTGTGTGAGTTGCCGCACACTTTAGCCCTGTTACACGCGTCTGGGAGCTGCTGTTGACAGGTACTAGTAGTCTAGAGATTGGGGTATATGCTCAGCTATCTGTATAATACAGATCTGTGTGTATAAAATATCCCGGGATAGTCAGTGCTTCCTGTATAGTGCTGCTCTCTGTCTTGGGATATTATACACAAACAGACCTGTATTATACAGAGAGCAGCACTATACAGGGAGCACTGAGTGTCCCAATTTATTATACACACAACCCTGTATTATACAGAGAGCACTGACTGTCCAGGGATATTATACCCAGACAGTAATTGATAGCTGTGCTGCAAAATGTCCTTGGAAATGTTTTTTCAAATGTTGGCAACTATGGCACTGTATCAAGGATAATGTGTTTGTTTTTTTAATAATCCCTGGTGGAAAATAATGAATCCTCCACCAGGTATTATTAAAAAAACAAAACACATTGTGTTGGGGGCGTGGCTTAACATGCGACAGGGGCGGGGTCAAACTGCGATGAGGGCGGGGTTAAATGTGCCCCCTTACTTTTGTCACTGGCCCTCCATGTGCCCCCCCGAAAAATGAATCCTAGAGACGCCACTGCCCCCTATTGACAAGCACTTGGACCTAAACTTTAGTTCCACTTTGAAATTATTTAATTCAGTAAGTCACGAGGACTAGTATGTATGAATCCAGGACTAGTACTTCCAAGCTGGGTGTGCGATTTTTGGAAGAGGCCTGGGATACTTAGTTTAAAACAGAAATAATACTGTTCCTTTCAGCCTTACCTATCACACGATATCTGTTTGTATCCATCAACAGGGTTTATTCACATTTACATTTGCATCCAGGGATTGGAGTAAAATATAATTTCATTCTTCCTTTCTTTGTTTAGTTACGGTTTTAATAATTAGGAGAGTAGATAGGGCAATCTGCCGCTCTGATCGGCTCAACCAGACAGTTTACTGTCTCCCGGGTGCTCGGGTCTGGCATGTTGCTGACAGAGTGGATGGATTATTGGGAGGGGCTGGGGATGACCCAGTGGTCATGGTCCATGTTGGTACCAATTACAAAATTAGAGTAAGATGGAAGATGGAAGATGGAAGGTCCTAAAGAATGATTTCAGGGAATTAGGTAGCAAACTTAAGAAAAGGACCTCCAAGGTGGTATTCTCTGAGATATTACATGTGCCACGCACTACAGTGGAAAGGCAGTGGGAGATTAGAGAGCTGAAGTCTTGGTGCAGAAAGGAGGGTTTGGGGTTTTTAGAGCACTGGGTCGACTTTGCGCTTGGATACAACCTTTATAGCAGTGATGGCTTCCACCTAAACGGGAGAGGTTCTGCAGTGCTGGGGAATAGGATGGCTAGAAGGTTGGAGGAGATTTTAAACTAGTAGTAGGGGGGCTAGGTAATAGCAATCTACAAAATGGAGACAGGACAGAAAGGAGATGGGCTCTAGCTCAGTATAAGGGGGGTGGAGAAGAGGGGAGGGATAGGCTCAGAACAGAGGAGGTATGTAATATTGATAAGAATTCACAAAAAGTACAAGTGACACATGATATCAAATGTATGCTTACTAATGCAAGGAGACTAAATAACAAAATGGGGGGACTAGAAGCAATTTCATACACTAAACAATATGACAATAGGCATAACTGAAACATGGTGGGATGAGATACATGACTGGGCAGTTAACTTAAATTTGTACAAGTTATTTAGGAAGGATAGGAAAAACAAGAAATCTGATAGGGTATGTTTGTATGTCAACCACAAGTTAAAGCCAAATCTCAAGCAAGTGGAATGTGAAGAGGAAAATGTGGAAACTTTATAGGTAAATATCTGCTTGGGGCAAAATAAAGGAAATCAATTATTGGTTGGGATATGTTTTTAACCACCTAATGTTAATATTGATGAGGAACAACAGCTGTTTGGGCAAATTGAGAAAGCTGCAAATTTGGGTAACACTTTAATTATTGGAGATTATACAATACAGTGTCCTTTGAAATAAACTCAAAAAAACAAAAGAACATGGGGTATACTAAAACAAATCATTTTAAAAAGGCCAATTTCAAAAAGTTAAGGGCAGCTTTACAATATATTAACTGGATTAAACACCGGGGATAAATAGAACATCTTCCAACAAATATTAGAAAGGTACATTTCTCAGTATGTACCACTGGGTAATAAATATAAAAGAAACTAATTGAAACCAATGTGGCTTAGTGGGAAAGTGAATCTAGAAATTAAAAATAAGAAAAGGGCATTAAAGGCCTTTAAATCTCACAAAACGAAGGCATCCTATAAAAGATATAAGAAAGCCAATAATGCGTGTAAAAAGGCAACTAGATTCACTAAACTTCAAGTATATAAAGTCTAAAAAAACAAAAAATTAAACTGTAGGTACACTAAAATCTGGGATGGGGGTGTTAGTTAATGAAGACCAGGAAAAGGCAGAAAATTTAAATAACTATTTCTCCTCTGTATATATTAAGGAAGAACCTATGGCAATAGATATGCAAATAATTGCTGCAAAAAAACTTGCAGAAAAATTGTAATTGGCTAACTCAAGACAAGGTACTGCAGCAACTCAGCAACTAAAGAAAGTTAATATAAACAAAGCTCCAGGCCTGACGGTATTCATCCATGAGTACTTAAGGAACTAAATGTAGAAATAAGCAAACCTCTGTTTTTAACCTTTAAGACTCTTTTCTTTCAGGAAGTGTTTCTGAGGATTGGAGGAAGGCAGATGTGGTTCCTATATTCAAAAAGGGTTTAAAATCCTTGCCTTGAAATTATAGACCTGTGAGCTTAACTTCTGTGGCTGAGAAAGTATTTGAAAGGTTATTAAGGGATACTATTCAAGAATTCCTTCCTAATTCTTGGGATGAGATTATCATTTTGCCTCTTTATAAATCACTGGTAAGACCACATCTTGAATATGCTGTGCAATTTTGGGCACCTGTTCTAAAGAAGCATATTACAGCACTAGAAAAAGTGCAGAGGCAGGCTACAAATTTAATACTAGGAATGGGCCATTTTAGCTATGAAGAAAGGTTAACAAATTGAAACCACTTTAGTTTAGAAAAATGTTGTCTCAGAAGGGATATGATAACATTATACAAATATGGCGAAAACAAACCATTGTGTGGAAATCTATTCACAAACAGGACTTTACATATGACACGAGGTCATGCGTTTAGACTGGAAGAAAGAAGATTTTGTCTAAGACAAAGGAAAGGTTTTTTTATAGTAAGAACATTAAGCATGTGGAATTCGCTGCCTGAAGAAGTGGTTTTATCAGAGTCCATACATATGTTTAAACAGCAACTAGATGCATACTTGCAAAAATAGAATACTAATTTATATAATTTTTCAACTGTAGGGTAATAGCTTCTTGATCTGGGATCAAGAGGGAATTTTTTCCTAGTTTGTTTCAAAATTGGAAGTGCTTAAAACTGTTTTTTTTGCCTTCTTTTGGATC